CTATTGACTACTTCAGTAATCCAAGTGGGAATAGCAGTACTGGAACCAAGAGTAAGGATAGCATGTTTAACTCTAGAAAGAGCATCTGCCACTCTGTTTTCCTTTCCCTTCTTATACTCCACTGTGAATTTGTATCCCATTAACTTGATGAGGAGTTTGTGTTGTACTCCTTCAGTTACTTTTTGCTCTTGGATGTACTTCAAACTCTGTTGATCAGTTCTGATTATGAGAGAAGATGAAGCAAAATAGTGTTTCCACTTTTTAATTGCTTCAATGATTGCAAGTGCCTCTTTGTCATATGTAGACCAACCAACAGCTTTAGGGCCAAGGGCTTTGCTCAAAAATGCAATAGGTTGTCCTTTTTACATGAGTACAACCCCAATGCCATAGCCAGATGCATCAGCTTCAAGAACAAAGGGCAAGGAGAAATCTGATAAAGCTAGCACTGGTGCAGTGGTCATTTTGTTTTTCAACAATTGGAAAGCAGAAGCTTGTTTTTCTGTCCACTGGAAAGCATCCCTTTTCAATGCATCAAACAAGGGTTTGCAGATCAGGCCATAGTTTTTCACAAATCTCCTGTAATATCCTGCTAGACCCAGAAAGCTTCTCAAGTGTGTCACATTTTGAGGTGTGGGCCAGTTCCCAATGGCTTCCACTTTAGTAGGATCTGTTGAAACCCCCTTGTCAGAGATAACATATCCCAGGTACTCCACCTTAGATTGTGCAAATGTGCACTTAGAAAGCTTGGCATAAAACTGGTGTTTCCTCAGAGCTTCCAGTACTAAAGCAACATGTTCTAAGTGTTCCTTTTAAGATTTACTGAAGATCAGAATATCATCAAAAAAACTAGCACACACTCTCTCAACAATGGACCCAAAATAGTCTGCATAAGTTCTGTAAAGGAAGGGGGTCCATTGGTTACTCCAAAGGGCATGACCAGAAATTCAAATAGTCCAATGTGTGTGCTAAATGCAGTTTTTCCAATGTCTTCCCCTTTCATTCTGATCTGATGATATCCACTTCTCAGGTCCAGCTTAGTGAATATCTTTGCTCCATTTAATTCATCTAGGAGATCTTCTATCATTGGTATGGGGTATTTGTTTTAAATTGTGTGGGCATTGAGTTTCCTATAATCAATGCACAACCTCCAAGTCATGTCCTTTTTCTTTACCAGGATTGTAGGAGAGGAATAAGGACTATGGCTTAATCTTATGATTCCTTTCTTAAGGAGATCTTTTATAATTTCCTCCAAGGCATTCTTCTGATGGTGTGGCAATCTATATCCTCTTTGATTGATAACAGGAGCACCAGGCTCTAGGTTAATTGCATGATCACAATCCCTTTTTGGAGGTAGGCCAGTAGGTTCTTCAAAAACATCCTTGTAGTTTTCAAGAACTTTGGCAATTTCAGGTTTTTGCACAGTCTCTAGCAGAGTGTCCACTTGCATTGGTTGCATCCACATGAGTGCTCCAGATAGCATATCATCTAGTATTTTCTACATATCCTGCAAGAGAGGAGTGCAAGGACTGTTGGGCAAGCTCTCATCCAAGAAGGTTATTGCTTCACCACTGACTAGTTTAATTCCCAAGGACATGTTTGGTAAATCAAAGGTAACAGGACTGTGTTTGTACATCCAGTCTGCTCCCAAGATTATGTCATACCCAGTGAGCTGCAGAAACCTGAAATCAGAAACTAATTCAACTCCTTGGATATTGTAGGAAGTTTTGTGAAGTGAAAAAATCACTGTATAATTTTCCTCCATTTGCTACAGTTACTTGCACTTGTTTCACTGGAGTAGCAAGACACCCAGACTGTGCAGCAAGGGCAGGGGAAATGAAAGTAGTAGTACTTCCACTATCAACTAGGGCCAGTCCTACAGTGTTTCCAATTTTGACTTGCAATGTGAAAGTGCTTTTCTTCTTCTCCTCAGGTATGCCAGTGGCTGCATGCATGGAAATTTTGAGTTCAGTGTTGTCAGGGGGCTCCTCTTCTACATCAGACTGGACCTCCTCTGCATCCACTATGTATATGATCTCAGGATTTCCAGCTTGTTCTTGTAGGGCCTGAATCTGAGACTTTTGGGACATTTTGCAAACCTGCTTATGACCAGGAAACCAAGGTTCTCTGCACTTATAACAAATGCCCTTCCCTCTTGCTTGTTGTATCAGGGAAGCATGAGCTGTACTGGTGGCCATTGGAGGTTTTGGCACTTCTCCTTGTATACTTTTTCTGAAACTTGGACATAAGTTTTCAGAGTGGTGGAAGGAGGACAAGATTTCTCAATCCTTCTAGCTAGCCACATAGCTTTCTGCATATCAGCAAGTTCTAAACACTCTAAATGGCTTTGAATGTAGGGGTTTAGTCCTGATATTAAACTGTGTAAGTAATAGTTGTCAGGAACTGCTGGGTTGTCCCTCCTCATCAGATTCATTTGATGCTCAAATTCAGAGATGTATTGAGAAATAGTAGCCTGTTGAGTTAGCTTATGGAAAGCTTTCACATTTTCACACACAGAAGTGACAGCAAACCTTTGTGTAAGTGCAGAACAGAATTTGTGCCAAGGCATATTACTGACAATAAACCCAGTTCCTCTCCACCATTGTATAGCTTCACCCTTCAGATAAAAAACTGCTATTTCAGTTCTTTGCTCAATTGGTGTTCTAGCAGCTGAGAAATATTGCTCTATATTTTGTATCCATGAATCTGCATCTACTCCTTCAAATTCAGCAATGTTCAACTTTGCAGGCTTGACAGAAAGTATATTTCTTCTGGTTTCAGGAGCATATGGTCTGTGTCTATCTCTTCTGGCCTCTGCTTCTGGAAATTCCTCAACTGTCAGTAAGTGTTGTGCTTCCTGAACTTGCTGCTGTTGTGGTGTGTGAAACTCCTGCTTGTTGGCAGCATGATTTGGGTGCCTATAGGGTCCTTTTGGAGTGCCATCCAAGTTCAGTTCCCTGCCTGTTGTTTTGTCAATTAACACAGCAGATCCCCCTGTAGCCGGTTCCTGTTTGTCATTGGCCAGTTGGTTATTTGGTAGTTCTTTAGGCCTTCCTGGTGGAACAGCATTACTACCATGTCCAGAGAGAGGATCTGGCCTTCCCTCATCTTCATCTTCATCTTCTTCTCCCGACTGTTCAGTGGCCAACTTTTGCAAAGTGCTCTTTATTTTCTTGAAGTTTCTCTGGATGCTGGCAAAGTTCTTGTTTACTCACTCTGTGAAATTATAGAACTCCTTTCTGTCCTCTTCTCGCTCCTGTCTCAGAGTTTTGATGTCCAATTGCAGGGACTCGAGTTCCAATAGGTCAGTGTCTTGGGTCTCCAGCCATGTCTGCCAGGCTCTTGTTGGTCATGCTGTGCCGATCCAGCCTGAGGATTTAGTCGGGTAGTGTTGGGATGAGATTTTGCACCGGTTGCCCGGAAACCAACCCGCACAACTAGAAACTTTTCTCTTCAATTGCAGTAAACGCCGCGCCGCCGGAACGAGCAGCACTGAAAGGGAGGGTTGGGTGGGATTTTACTCTGAAGAAAGATTCTCCAGGAACCACTACCCCTTCCTCTGTGCTGCCGATCGGTCTACCACCGCCAATCGCCGCCTCTCGCCGCCGCCTCTAGATCAGATCTGGGACTCATATCACGCCGCCAAGGACAACAACCAACGCATCCGATACCAATTGACAGGAGCTGACTGTCACTGACTCTGAATTCTCGCGTAACAGAAAGGAAGAACTCAAATTTTAGGGCAATTTGTGGGCATCGATTTCATTCACTCGAGCAGGAGAGCTAGGGTTTCTGGCCAGCCGGAACACGGCGGCTTAAGGGCCAAGCCCAGATACAATCAAGATGCCCTCTCCACAATCCGAAGGCGAGCTTAAAAGGGGTTCAGTGAGGTTAAAAGGGGAAGACAGCGACCGGTACAGTAAAACGACAAAGCGCGGTAACTTTTAAAAAGGCAAGTGAAACGGTACCAGCCGTTCGTTCACAGATCAACGGCTGCGACGATGATCCGGGCCTCGAAGCGGTACCACTCCCCTGCGTCCCTCAGATGGTAGATCGACGGTTGTCGTTTGTCTTGGCAAACCGAATCAGTACTGTGGCAATTCCGGTGTTGTTGACAGAACAGGCCTGACAAGACCACGACAGTTTGGTTCACAAGAAGAAAACCTTGAAAATGAATCTACACTGCGTCTACGTGGTTACTTTTTATTACACGTTGTAGTACCATTTCAGCACATCCACCACAAGTCCACAACTAGACCTGGAAATGATTGTCTCTTAAACCTATAGTAACCAAATTTATCAAGCCAAGTATGCTATCGCCAAGCAAAACAAGCAAATTTGCTGAAAACACCAGCTTCTTTTAGTTAAATTATCAGCACACCCTATCTCTATGAAAATACAATCAACAGATAATGGTCTTCAACGACCCAAAAACTATGTCAAAGAAACAATTGGTACCAAGTTTGCAATTGTGATATGCTCATATAATCAATCAGCTTTGTTCCGACAGTATACCTACTGTACTGGATGAAATGCCCGCCATACAAAACAGGTGAGCTCTGCAAATATATTTTCTGTAATACCCATGACATGATCATGATGAGCTATTATTTCATTTCCAAAACTGGAGAGAAGAGTTCAAGCAAGTTGGATTGACAAAAATATATAGCAACTTGTCCACCATTAATAATTATTCTCCATCCGCACAATCCAAAGGAAAACGATACAGCAGATACAAAATAGACAACTCGGAAAGCACACGTTTTCTTTTCTTTACAACTCTACACCATCACCATCGGAATAGGCGCGCAGCAAAACTTACATCTCGGATGGCAACACCTGGTAAATTCTACAGAAGTTGACGATGTGTCAAACCTTTCTTGCATCCAAAAACCACCCTTCTGAACTCAGAAGACCGTGTGCAGATACATCATAGTAAACAGCTAGTGAAACATAAATTGACAACAATACAGATTTCTTTGGCGCCGCAGATTGTACACCTTTCACCTCCTAGAGATGGCTCTAGAGATTCTCTTACAACAGGGACTGGTCCGAAGGGCTTCTTCATGAGGGCGGATTGCTTCAACCAGGGCATTATGGAGATGGCCCTGTCAAGGAAAAACGATAGTCAACAATATGCATGCTGTAGTTTGACCTACTTGAAAAATTCATATGGATCGGAACACTTACCCTGCTGTTAACAAGGGCAGTATGAATGACGTAGTTCGCAAAAGGGTCTTGCAGCAGTTGTTCAAAGTGAGGCACTGAAATCAAGTCAAACACTATGGCAGCTTTGTCTTCATCTGAGAAGACCTTCAGGCATTTCTCCACCACATTGCTGCTCACTTTTTGCTTTGAGAGATAAACATAACTTCCTTCAAACTGAGATGCCAGGTGTGCATTTGCAGAAGGAATTTTCTGGTCCAGGACATACTGTACCACATAATTGCTGAAACAGGGGGGAAATAGGCAAGAACTTTAGTTTTATGAGTTAATATAGCTTACATGTTGCCAAACATTCTGCTTGAAAAATACCAAGCTATCTCATGATAGAGAAACGAAACACATGATGGATATACATTCACTACTTGGCAAAAGATAAATCAGGTTGGGGATGTCTAACTCTCAAATTATACAAGGGAGCAAGAAAAAAATTGAAACGTGCAAATAGTTATTCCAACAAAGGTTGGGTTCATGTAATTAGCACACAGTTCATACATTCACTACTTGTCAAAAGATAAATCAGGTTGGGGATGTCTAACTCCCAAATTATACAAGGGAGCAAGAAAAAAATTGAAACATGCAAATAGTTATTCCAACAAAGGTTGGGTACATGTAATTAACACACAGTTCATACCATTATCAGCATGCTTATTGTAATTGTCTGTGAAATGCAAACAGACCGTGAAGACTAATTACTGTTACATGTTATCACCTGAAAATGAGTTGAATCTAGAGCAACAGAAACTTTGGGAAAAATAAGATTTTTAGGGTCAAGGGACTAATCAAGTTGATGGTGTGAAGATATGGTTCTTCTGAGAAGGGAGGTGAAGATAACTCTTACTCCAGCAAAAGATCGGTTAATGATATAATGCAAGCAACGAGCAACAATATCGAAAAAGTATTATCAGTATAAGCTGGATATTCTTCCCATTAATAAATCCGCCAGTAATATGAATCTATATATCTAGTGTTGATTACATGTCACTGATAAGATCTCTACAAGTAAGCAGACAAGTAAAACTGCTTCACAAAAGAATTGGTAAAGACATAGTGCAAGAATGTTGTTCCTTTATAAATAGCATAAAGTACAAGATAATAAAGAGGAAGGGTGGGTTTACCCAAATGGATCTTGAGCGAGCTGAAAGGCATGAGCACACACTTCCACAATTAGCTTCGCCTGATATTCACCACGTGCACTAGTTATGCACTTTTGTAAAACACAGCAGCCATGGCGATGTATTGCCATTTCAAAACAGTGAGTTGCAGCAGCCTCAAATATGAACTGCCCAAAGAGTAGAATAAATCAATAAATACATCTCAGATGATAATAATATAACCAAATCAACTAAGATAACAAGAACTCCATAACACACTACTAATTTACCCGACATTACTTATGACGTTCAAAACGACATTGAGCTATTGACAGTTGTAAGGCGATCATACTTGCTCCATAAATAAATTTCTATACGTTGGCATTCACCATTGGATCAACTGTAAGTGCAGAATATACTTGTATAAGGTCTGGTACATTAACTTCATGATCGACATATCCCCATGTTAAAAGAAACCTTAGCATCAATCAAATATTCCTACTGATATTAGTCTTATGGGTTCTTCTCCAACACAAGGTACGTTCAGAAACATGTAAAAGAGAAT